TGTTGAGTAGCCCCATCGGGTCATATATTTTGAAGAATTGTTTCACTTAATGGATTACGCTATTTCTGATTTAAAGCGAGGCTTAGTGCGGAGCTATTGATATGAAAATAACTTTTTTTTTATTCTTTTGCAAATAAACTTTTTTTTCAGAAGAAAGGTTTTGCTGTTTACTTCGTTTTGCCGGGGGGAACTTGGTTAATGAAACTTTAGACACATTATTACAATCATCATGAAGATTACCTAAACCATTCTATCAAGCCGATCCTGAGATGTATAAAAAAGCGTTAAAAATCAAGTTGTACCTGGCATGGTGTTTCCAAGATCGCAAAAAAGAAAATGCACCAAAATTTTCAAGCATGGAAAATGATATCAAAATTGCGATGCTACTTAAGACTGATCAGCAATTTGTGTTATTTAGAAATTTCTTATTCGTTCCTTTCCCAAGAAAAAATATTTAACGATACAAAGTTAGAAATTTATTTGCGTTTTATTCAAACATACAGATTTTTTTTAAAATTCTCATGGAGGTTTCTATATGCCAAAGATGTTGGATTTTCAATGGTTAAGATTCGTCTTCAACTGATTTCATAGAATTTTGTTAATCGATGTCATGATAATACCTTCAACTTAAGGCTACATTTTGACAAACTTCATTTTAAGTTTAGATAGTGGTGAAAAATTTATGGCGATTTGACTAGGATAAAATAGCTTTTACGGCGCCGAACATAGTCTTCTGGTAGATTTGCCGGAATATCAATCTCAAAATGCCAAACAAGTTAAACATGAGTTGATCCACCTACCTGTGGCTTACCTGAACTGTTTCACAGCCCGCATTCCTTTTTTGATACTTTCTGAAGTTATTTGAACAAGGACCCGTTTGCGAGAGTGAATATTTATTCTTATTCAAATTTTGAGGCAGGAACTGAATCAAACTATTAACAACCGATATTTAGTTGCATAAAGTGAACTACAAGCTTGCTAAGTAGTATTTTGGTTCAGGTTTCAAATAACATTTTCAAGAATCGTCAGTCACGATAAGTTTGATGACGGAAGGGAAATAACCTGCAAAAAGTTGCGCTATCAAAACCCTCACAAACAGTTAAGTCACCAACTGTGTAAAAGGAGGCGAGTTTCGGCCACATCCTTAGGAAGAGAGATCCTTTACGGTGTATGCTGCCTTAAAAACACCTGAGGCAATTAAGTGATATCCAAAAATCACTAAGGTAGACTATATATCCAAATATTCCGTTACCCTCTGAGAATAGTTTTCATGAATTAAACTATTTATGCTCGTATACCTAGTCTGAAGGTAAACCATACTGTTTAATGACGACAGCTATCAATTTGGTGTTCTAAATCGCAGAGCCCAAAATGTTTACGCTGATCTAGTACATCCACCGAAACCCTCCAGTTAAGAACAAAAGCGGTTAAATGTGAACATGAGGTTTATGTGACGAAAATTGCCAAAATATATAAACATAATTATATTTCTTTGAAATGGCTAATTTAGAGGAAAAGATGGACATGCGTCGTGTCCAGCAAAAGAACTCGAACTTTTTAATGTATTTTGTACTTTTCAGAAATTGCAATACTAAAGGGATATTGCACGTATTTAACGCTGAAATTCTTAGTTGGCTAATTCCGAAATGTTATCTTTAAAATGACATGAATGCCTGTATATAACTCAACTTGATTTTCCTCTCTTTTACCCCCCCTCAGAGGGTGGCATCCCCCCTTTGTAAGTCCGTTGTTAAACTTGGTGCCAGCAAAGAAATTACTTTTACTAAAACAAACAAATATATGTCCCCTAGAGTAATAACTTAGAGTTACAAACAGCAACGATAAGCTTGGAAACAACTGCCAGCCTGAACAGTTTTGAAACCTCATTCAGCACAACTCGCAATGGGCTTTAATTCGCCACTTTAGAAACGAGGAGGAACTGGAGCCGAAATTTCTCCCGCAAGTGCTTCTGGGATCGTTACTGGGGACTTGACGTCATGGCGGCCATATTTGTGTCCCAAAACAATGAAACGGCGGCCATGTTTGTATCCCAAACCACTCCCGTGGGAGTTGAACTCTTTTCGTATGCAAACGCTTTCTTCTGTTCCAATAAATTTGCATAGATGCTGGCCACGTGAGTGAAAACACAGAATAGACCTATTCGGCTAACTCAATGTTGTACCCAATTCAAATCTCCCGGGGCTATATTTGTTTGTGTACTGTATTTGCATTATAATGTGGCATTCACATTTAAGGGACAGTGTCCCGATTATGCGCACGCGCGAGCGTCATCTGTTTTTTCTTCAAAAGACAATAGAACTGTCATATTGACTCGACAAGATTTCCTTCCGGACCGGACCGCCGACGGAGATTTGTTGTTTATATTCTTTAGCAATACTTTAGACTTTCCAAGAAATCTTTCGTCTTATTTAAAATTTGGCTCGCGGCACGAAGATTTATCGCGATTTTATCGCTAGCAGGGCCGCCTCGCGACCCGAAAATCTCTTTCCGCCCGCTTTAAAAACAGATTTTCTAATGTGAAAGTCACGTCAGAGGTCAATTGTTCCAAGTCCAGTAATATCTGCCTGACTTGCTCGCGTTCTAGCCTCAAACGTTGGAATGACATAAATAAAAATGCAATCTCAACGCTATGAATCATCGGAAATGTTAGTCAAAAATTATATTATGATTTAATAGAACTAGTTTTTCTAAACATGTAGCGCCTGTTTGTTTGATTTTGTCAGGCCGTTAGGGAGATTCATTTAAAAGTTTACTAACGCGTCGTTGCAGAACATTCTGCTTCACGAAGTCTAATTCCACAAGATCTCCTCAGTCACTTCAATGTCTCAATGGTTTCTTTCTTACAGTCTTTATTGTTGCTGTTTCATTTCTGCGTATTCCTTTCACAGTTATCCGAGCTTGTATGGAAGCTAGCAGAAGAAATAAGCCTTCAATCGGCATCAAAGCGCTTCCCATCTTTTGGACCTCCGGCCAACGGCAATAAAAGTAACGCCAAAAAAAATCCAGATTTGGCCCAAATGGAAACTTAACAGGAACAATATATCATTGATCTGTAATCCTGAGAAGTTTTAGTGTAGTATTAAACTCGGCCAAGCGCGATGCAAACAGATTTTTCAAGGTTCTTTTACTCTCCTCGCATCTTTTGATTTCGCGACATCCTGTCCAAAAATCAAAGTTTGGTGCATGCGCAGTAACGGGATACTGTTCCTTTATATGATACGGAAATTGGTGGCCTCTCTTTATAAGCCTGGTGGTTTCTTGAGGTCTCCTCGCCTAACAACCTGCTGTATCCTGTAAAATTTGCTGTAAAAAAAAGGCTAATAAAAATGATGATGATGATGATGAAATTCCTGAAAGAAAACGTTTTATTCCCAAAGGGTTTGAATTGGTCACAACATTGAGTTAGCTGAATTGGTCTATTGGCTAATTTCTTCCCCTGTCCCTAGTAACAGCTCCAGAATCTTTGCGAAAGTTAACCCAGTCCAGACTCCTTCTCCGGCGTTTCTAAAGTAGTGAATTGAAGTCTGTCTCAATATTGCTTGTTGCTTAGTAACGCTAGTGACATGCGCATTAGGACTTGTAGTAGATTAGAAGAGGTGGATGCTGAGTTGTTTGGAGATATAGGCTTGTTCAAGTGTGAGCCAGTTAGGATCCAACTCCATGAGAATGCCCAACCCTATTGCATCAACACGGCAAGAAGAATAGCTTTTCCTTTAATGCCGAAAGTAGGAGAGGAACTCAAGCGTATGGAATAAGCTGGTATCATCGAAAGAGTAACAGAGCCGACAGAATGGTGTGCGCCCATGGTACCAGTACAGAAAAGAACTGGTAAGCTCAGAATCTGTGTCGATCTAAGAAGGCTGAATAGTGCAGTGAAGCGCTCCAGGTTTGTACTGCCTACCTTGGAAGATATCGCGCCCAAACTCGCTGGTGCCCAGTACTTCTCCAAACTTGATGCGTCCAGTGGATTTTGGCAGATCCCCCTACATCCAGATAGTGCCAAGTTGACCACGTTCATGACTCCATTTGGCAGGTTCTGTTTTAGAAGACTTCCATTCGGAATCACGTCTGCTCCAGAAATTTTCCAGTCTCTAGTGAGTGATCTGTTAAAGAACAGCGAAGGTTGTGAAGCAATTATGGATGACATTATTGTGTACGGGAAGTCTGCAGAAGAACATGATGAGAACTGACAGAACACGTTTGGAGTTATCAAGGAGTCAGGACTGAAACTGAACAAAGCGAAGTGTGAGATCAAGAAAAACAAGCTAACATACTTTGGACATGTTCTCAGTGCCGAGGGTGTAAGTCCAGACCCAGAGAAGGTGAAGGCAATAACAGACCTCGAAGCACCAACCAATGTGCCAGAACTACGCAGACTGATTGGCATGATTAACTACCTCGGGAGGTTTATTCCCAACCTTGCTTCAGTGATGCGTCCAATGAGCGAACTATTAAAGTCAGATACAACTTGGACTTGGGGACCTCCCCAGCAAACTGCATTTACCAAGGTCAAAGAAATGATTTCAAGTAACACAGTGTTAGCATTCTATGATCCTAAGAAGCCCACTGTTGTTTGTGTAGATGCTAGTAGCTATGGAATTGGTGGGGTTCTGATACAAGGTCACAGTGAGCAGCTCCGCCCAGTCAGTTTTTGCAGTAGAACACTAACAGAGACTGAGGTCAGATATGCTCAAATTGAGAAAGAGTGCCTGGCAGCAGTGTGGACATGTGAGAGGCTCTCACGTTATCTAGTAGGGCTTCCAAGTTTCCAGCTCTTGACAGATCACAAACCTCTGGTACCACTGATCAACCAGAGAGATCTCGATAAAACACCACTAAGGTGCCAAAGGCTTCTATTGCGTATGAGTTCAAAGCAAAGTATGGATTCAAGCACACCACATCAAGCCCGTATCATCCCCAGGCAAATGGTACTGCAGAAAGTGGCGTGCGAATCGCTAAGCGGATTCTGAAACAGGAGGATGGCCTATAGGGCGACCCCAATCCCGGCAACTGGAAAGACACCATCAGAACTGATCATGGGAAGGCTGATACGTACTACACTTCCAACACTGACCAAAGTCTTAGAGCCAAAGCTTCCAAACCATTCAGCAGTCAAAAGAGCTGATGTCAAAGCCAAACGGGGCTACAAGGAGTCCTTTGACAAAAGGAATGGCTCGAGAGAATTACCAAAGCTACAGCCTGGAGACTGGGTCAGAACCAAGCTGGATAAGGAGAAGCAGTGGACCACAGAAGCTAAGGTCGTTAGTGAAGACCGAAGTCCCAGGTCATACATCATAGACACGGGTGGTAGAAGATTGCGAGGGAATCGTAGGTATCTTAGAAAGGTCCCTACTCCCACTCGTTATGACACAGCAGGGGACGACTCCCAAATTCCGGATATCAACAGTGAGCCTACTTCCAAGGTCGTCCAAGTGGAGGACACCAACGTTCCCGGAAGCAGCAACGCCAGTCCTGACCAAAGCGATCAGAACGCGATTCCAGAACAGAGAACCTCAAGTGGTAGACTTGGTAGGAAACCTACTCGTTATAGAGAGGACATTTAGTACTGTTGATTTTGTTGACTTTTGGACAGTCGTTTTTGTCTTTCACATAGGTCAACTTATGCCTAGGACTCTCCTTGATTAGATTTCAGAACATGCTTAAGCATTGTATTCAACCAGTTCATTTTGTTGTTGTTGTTGTTTTTTTTTTTAAAAAGGGGAGATGTCTCAATATTGCTTGTTGCTTAGTAACGCTAGTGACATGCGCATTAGGACTGGTAGTTCTTACCATGTGCTCTTGCCTAATGGCGGACTTTGTACATCACGCTTGTTTGTTATAAATGATTGAATCCTGTTGAGATTTCAAGACAGAGTCCATTACTAGTTGTAATGAGGTACCTTTCTTTTGCATGCACATGCTGTCTTATTTCAGTGTTTCCTGAATCTGACTCACAGAGGTTTTTGTGATGGAATAAAATATTTCACCATAACTAAAATTCTCGGACGATGATTAGTCGAGAGCTATTTTCCATAAGAGTACAGACCAATTTACAGACCATGGAAATGACGTCATGGTGGCGCAATGTGTTTCTTTCTTTCTCGAGCTCGCGATTCTCCAAGAAACTTCAATGGGAATGGACGTCATGAAAACTTTCAATGTCACTGTGAACTTTGCAGTGGAACCACTAGCCAACATAATATCGCGCTCGTGATTCTCCAAGAAACTTTTCATATTGTTGTACGAGCAATTGCTTATTTTTGGGTGTATTTGGAGAATTTTAAATCATTCATTTTATTATTATTATTATTATTATTATTATTATTTATTTATAGTTTTTTTATATATTTATATCCATTTATTTATTGCTAGTCTGCGTGAGAAGAAAAGTCACATATTTGGGTTTTTGTTCCTGTTTTTTTTTTTTTTTTTTTTTCTATGCTGTTACTATGCTCACTTTTCAGATTAAAAAAACTATTTCAAGTGAGAAATGGTTTAACTACGTCGTTACTTTTTTTCTTGAAAATGCTAAAAATTTGGGTCGATCGGACGATGCTAAATGGAGAAAAAAAAGAGGATGGCCTAAGATAAAGGGGGAAATTAAAATTTAAGATGACGTGAATTAAACATGACTTGAAATAGACCTCTTAAGCTTATCTTATTCATATGCATATGTATGTATTAATTCATGACAAGACAAAGGGGCAAATTCCCCTGGGGTCTTGGGAAAACAAAACACACAAGCTAAAGAGGTCTATAAGAGACATATCAGCCCTCAGTCTCCGGCATTTACACAACAAAATAGCGATAAGCACTAAAGGAAATGCACTGAACATTAAATTTAATGGTAAGCTTAAAAAGCAATATTTTGAAGTTACCTCTGAAATCGTTTTCACATCATGCATGAATCCACGCTGAACTTTCTACGGTGAGTATCGATTTAACGCACGGTCCTCCTCCTCCAGGAAAACACCCAGATCAGCCAGTTTTGTTCGTCGTAAGTCCAGCTCCACAGTCGTCGTGTCAAATTGCTCGCCAAGTTTGAACATGAATACATAGGTAGCGAGTAAGCTGGCAAGACTTGTAAAGGAAATTAACCTTGCACTTTTGACACTAAAAATTGACAACAAGTTCTTGAGGTCACCAATTATTACTGAAATGTCCCAATTTGCATTCTTCAACTTTAACAATATACCCACTCGTTCAAATCCTATGAAAATTCATCTCAATTTACCGGCTTTTTCCCCTTGCCATTTGCAAAACAACAATTCTGATCAGCGTTATATGTTTGAAAGTAAAAACGTCGTGTTTTCATCTCCATTTGTTGCACTTGCACTAAAGGTCTACCACGTGATGGCTTGACGAGCCAAGGGGAGGCTAAGAAACTCGCCGCGATTAGCGGCAAAACTAATTAAAGTCACGAACAAACAATTTTTTATCGTTTAAATTGCGGATGATTAGAGGTGACGAATTACTCCTTAAGTTTGGCGCGACATTTCAGCGTTAATGTCAAATTACAAAATTGCCATGGCAACCTTCCGTACGTCTCAGTGTCAAGAAGGCGACGAAGTGAATGAAGTGGATGTCAGGGCACAAAAAGACACTTTAGAAAACCTGAACACACGAAAGAGCACATCAAGAAGGATTCTAACAGGTATTTTGTCGAAAAACTCTGAACTTAAGCCAAATTTAAGCTCTAAACGTTCGAGAGAGTGCAGGAGTTCTCGATCGATACGATCCAGGATAAACATGTCAAAAATCCAAGATTTCTAACGTAATTCGTCACCCATGATATTAATAGGTAATCAAATGGTATACTCGTGAAATTAGGGAATAATTTCACTCGCGTTTTGTCCAAATCCTCATAATTTCCCGTAAAGGCTCGGGAAATTATTAGGATTTGGACAAAACGCGCGTGAAATTATCCCCTAATTTCACTCGTCACCATTTGATTACACATACTAATCTCCTTCAAATAACGCTTGTTACTGCGTCACCAACATAAATTAAAAAGCCATTTGAGGAGAACGGAGTTAACTGTTCCTTAATGCATGCACTGTTTTCCAACATGTTTCAAAAGAGGAAATTTCAGCGCATGATATACATTTTTTGTTATTTCTTTTAGATGTCGACGAATGTGCATGTACTGCATGCCTTTTCTCCCCTCTGTGATGTCAATGCTCAATGTTCGAACATTCGTGGGTCTTTTATAGCTGCAGATGCAAATTTGATTCATATTTCTGGAAACGGAAAAACTTGCAAAGGTTTGTGGAAAGTAGAGAGTCGAGATTCAAGCGTTGTTTCAAGTCAAAAAGGTGTTACTTTGCTTTGCGAATTCAGTTTGCTTGGTAATAAAGTTTTTCTTCTTCGTTCAAATAGTACCGGTAACTTAATTCAAAAGGCCAAAAATCAGCTACAATATGCGAAAAGGTCTGTAAGCGTCGATGCTATAACAGTGAGCATACTAGCAATCCCTGTAAATTTAGCACGCTGAAATATGTCTAGAAGCCGATTTTGCGTTGTTAATTTTCATTGTGGTAAAACAATTTCGTGCCTCTGCTGTTTATTTTCAGACATAAACGAGTGCACTGATTACTCTCCTAGCTAGCCTGAGATCATGCCCTCTCCCTATTATCCCTTTATGTCTCTCACGGAAAGAGGGCATGATACATTTTTTCTTTCTCGGATCACATGTAAAAAAGCCAGAATCTGGACTTTTTTCTGATTGGATAGGAAACAATACGGATGATTTGCGCTGTTCCGATTGGCCAAAGTGCCGCCATCCGTTAGTTGTTGTTGATTTCAGTCTGCATTTTTGCTTGCGTAATGAGCAGTGAATACACACGCGAGTTCGTTATGAAATTTCTGCCGGCTCAGTTTTCTTGAATTTGAAGAATGCCTAAATAGAGGTTTCATCCATTGAAATATTTTCCATCTCATCGTATACTAAAAAGTTGCAGTCAAAACTTCACCGATCATTTGAATGCAATTTGATACCGCCTACAAGTTACAGAAGCGACAAACGGGTTCGGCTTTTCAAATATTCAATTCATGAATGGAATCTTGACCTGGTTTGACTGTAATTCCTCCTTCAGAAATCTGCGAATTATCCTGAGCGATCTTCGCTTTCACAACACCTTTCAGTTCGTGAAATATGGTGCTTCAGGGTAATTTTCTCTTTCACTGCTTTCGGCACAGAACGAAGTCCACGAGCTTTAACCAGTAAATTTTTTATTATTTGTAGCTCTTAAATAAAGGTACGGCAGCTCCAGCTAGCAGTATTTCATCACAAAAACAACACATTTAAATTTTTTTTAGGAATCGAAGCGCCATCTGAACATGGACGTACTTAAAAATTTTCTTTTCCCTAAAACTGATTTCAAAAGAGACATTATTTGCGCCAAAATTTGATTCCTGTATGGTAAACGCTTATTGGCTAATAACATGACAGGTCACGCAGACGTTAGATTATGTGAATTAGGGGGCGGTTAACGGCTTGTTAAATGAATGTTTCAGGCGCTATTTTTTTCCCTCTCGAGCCAAAGAAGCAAACAAAAAAATAATAACGCCTGATCTCAGGTTATCTCCTAGCTGTCACGTCAATGCTGTTTGTCAAAATACTGTGGGCTCACACACGTGTTCATGTAAAGATGGAAAACAATGTCATGGTAAGAACAGTTTCAAACAAATACAGCAAAAAAGACTGAACGCTATTTTTTACTTCTTACACTGACACTCTTTTTCCAGTATAGCGTCGGCTCAAAATTTCCCAGTTTTTCTCCCCAAATGAAGTGTGGCAAGTAAAAACAAGTTTCGATTCATGATATATATTTTCCCATAGATAAAGAGGGCGAGGTCTGTCATCATCGGTGTTACCTTGTGTTAATGGCATGTTTACTGGGCCAAAAAATATTTGTTTCTCGCCCTCCATTGTTCTCTTCCAGACATAAATGAATACACTACTAACTCCCATAGTTGTGACGTCAATGCAAAGGTGGTTATACAGGCTCTAAGGAATCAGGCTGTGTACATAATGAACACTAATTATCATCATGCATTATACAAACAGTGTTTTTAATTTGGAACCTTTTTGCAGTATACGAAGACACAATTTATTGATGCGCAACGTAACAATAATATTTTTCAATTTTCGTTCGTCAGAATAAAGAGAACCAGGTGTGGCGTAGCGATACTAGGTTCGTGATTCAACTGGGAAGAACTGCCGTCCCTTGGTCCTTGCTAATTAAAACTAGCTAGTAAAAAGTTTTGATTTAAAACACTTGAAGTTAAGAAAGTAGAGCAAGTCTTTACATGTTCTTCAATGCGTGATCAACGTTACAAATAAAAAATGGCATGGTCGATAATATTTTTTCATCTGCCAAAGACTGTCAGTCAGTCTGAAGAGGAGCTGGCGCAAACTAAGTTCTTCGTTCTTCTATGGTAGACAATTAACTTTAATTGTCACCTGTTCATAAAACTGACAATAATTGTTAAGGTTGTAAGGGAATAGTATGGCCATGTTTAACTGATAAAGAAAATACATTGAGCCAAAGAATTATCCGTAGGATTAAATATACAGGCACCAACGCGTTATGACCTTTTGGCATCGAGCAGGTTGCAGAACAATTGGTAGTCTTTACACTAGAGCCTAAATAAGCTAAGAAATATTTCAAGACAAGTAAATTTTAATTACTTCAAGTAAAATAAAGCTTCACACACAACCGATTCTTTTTTACTTCAGGTTAACTAAGGTCATTTTCCCACGCAACATAATTAAGATTGATTGACATGTTTTGCCTTTCCCAAAGCTCAAGAAACCGCAAGTCAACTAAGTCGGTCATAAGGATGGTTTTCAAGTCGCTTGAAACTTTCTTGAATCGTTTCAACTTTCCGACTCTAATGAGATGCAAAGTAAAGTTACTTGAGATTTTACTTAGGTCTTCACACACTAATTTTTGGCCAAGTAAAACTAAGCAGCTCTTAAGTCTTACTTAACAGCCTTGTGTAAAGACAACCAATCTTTACACTAGGCTGTTAAGTAAGACTTAAGAGCCGCTAAGTTTTACTTAACCAAAAATTCGTGTGTGAAGGCCTAAGTAACATCTCAAGTAACTTTGCTTTGCATCTCATTAAAGTCGGAAAGTTGAAACGATTCAAGAAAGTTTCAAGCGACTTGAAAACCATCCTTTATGACCGACTTAACTGACTTGCGGTTTTGCGGTTTCTTGAGCTTTGAGAAAGGCGAGACATGTCAATCAATCTTAATTTTGTTGCGTGAGAAAATAACCTGAAGTAAAAAAGAATCGGTTGTGTGTGAAGCTTTATTTTACTTGAAGTAATTAACATTTACTTGTCTTGAAATGTGTCTTAGCTTATTTAGGCTCTACTTTAAAGACTACCATACGACGTCTATCACATAACACTTTACTTAGTAACATGCAAGCGCTCTCCTAAAATTAAGTAGTCGATCAGTCAACGTTAATATAAGGGTATTCTGAACAGAAGAATGTCCCTTCGCTTCAAAAATAAGTCAAAAATACTTTGTTTACACGTGCGTTCGTGATTCCAATTTATTTTCAGTTTATGCCCTTCATAAACTGTGGTTTCATTTTGAGCACTTTATTTGTTAAGCCATGTCAAACTGGTGTCACTTTAAACAAACGCTGACATGAACGTGAAAGCTTATTACCAACAAGGCTCTAAGCTTTCCGTTTGGCACAGTAAGCCGGGATCTTAATAAAGTTTGTCAATTATAGTTGAAACTCATTAGAAACTACATTTCTTTTAGCTAAATTTTCGTCTTTTATCTGGTGAGTAATTCTTTTTTCTTTATAGCAGCTAGTTTGAAGGCCGGTAAAGTCAATATTGCTGCAGCGGGCGGAAGCTTGTTCGCTTGCAAGCAGATCTCCTTCAATCATCCTTTCCCGGGTGGAAAAGAAGTGAAAGTCTTAGCCTCATTTGGCCACGCAGTTAACAACTCAACTCATTCTAATGGTGCTGCTATTTGGGTGGAATCGGAGGATGCAAACCAATTCCGCGCTTGCGTCTATGAATACAGCGACGGATCAAACAAAACAGCGGAATTTAATTGGGTCGCCATGCAATCTGCACCATCAGGGGCGCAGTTGGGAACAACCCTCTTGGACTCCTGGACTACTGGGACAGAATGCAAAAGGATCGACTTTCCCCAGGTTAGCTTTTGTTGTCGTTTTTGTTGTTGTTGTTTGTTTGTTTGTTTAATACTGTTGTTAAAATGGTGACGAGATAAAACTGAATATAACAAATAACATTATTCGCCGCAGCGACTCCGGACGTAAAAATTTAAGGATTAACCCTTTAAACCCTAAGAGTGATCAGCATCAATTTTCTCCTTGTAATATCAGTGCTTTGTAAAACAGTGTGGTCATGAGAATTAAGGACATGATCACACAAGATGAAAATAACTGATACTTCAACAAATTCTCCACACTAATTCTATTGAAAACGTATAGGGGTAACACACGAGAATTTGAATTTTGATGTTAGGGTTTAAAGGATTAAAACGGTGAGAGATTTTCTGCGGGTCGAGGTTGGCTGGCTTAACAGCGAAGTGAAGTTTAAAACTACCGTAAAATTCCGAAAATAAGCCCCAGGGCTTATATTTTTCAAAGGCCCTTTGAGGGGCTTATTTTTGGAGGGGCTTATATTCGGAGGGGCTTATCTACCGAGGGAAATTTGCGTTTCAAACTCGATAGCGCTAGCCTTATAGTTGGAAGTAAATTTACCATTTTTTCTTTGCTTTTCGTTGTATTTGAGGGCAATTTTCTAAGTACAAGCCCCTAGGGGAGCCTATATTTGGAGGGGCGATTTAATGGAGGGTTTTTTGCGTTACCGGTTTGGGGCGCTTATATTTGGAGGGGCTTATACATGGAGGGGCTTATTTTCGGAATTTTACGGTAACTGTACTGTAAGCCAGGAAAATGGGCAGCTCCAGATTTATTTACCGAAGTGGATTAAATGGTTTCATTTTATTGCTTTTGACTTCGCGATTTATTAATCTTGCTTGAGATGTTCCGATGTACAACAATGTTGTTGTGCATGCATGACGCCACGTTTATATATGGCATTCGGCCACCCGGCCTTAGCCGTATCGGGAAAATTGGGACAGATGTCAATCCACAACATATATTTTGTTTCTAGTTGTTTTATGACATATTTTAAAAGAACATTTATGAATATGAAGTTGACACTTGACACTGAGATCTTAAAATCTTAGCCGGATGTTTGATGTTTGAATAAACCTTTCAATACTTTAAGGCTGTTGATAAACTGTCTTTTAATTATACAAACTTGAGGATTTTGGAAATAGGAGGGTTATTAAGTGTTGATCGACATTCCCGTTTTTTATCATATTTTCAGTCTTAAAGAGATAAATGCATAAAAAGTAAAACGTTCTTAAAAATTTTTTAAATCTGAGGAATATTAATTGGCTTATACTGAATGCCCCTATACTCATCAAACTTGGCAAATTTCGCTAAATTAAAATTAACCTTGCAATCCCTCCATAAACCATTTTAAGGTAAACATAAATAATATTTTCAGGAAACAAAACTGTAATCCTTCGTTTCTGGCATTTTGTTTTGGAATAGTGTCTACTTTTGACACTTTTCTAAGATAGTCAACTGAAGACGGCCAAAAGTTCATGGAAGTATTATTTTAAACTTTTTCCGGTCACGTGAACTATTAGTGTACATTTTCCTGTATTATCTAAACTTCCACTTAAATTTATCAATACTTATCCATGAAAATATATTCCAATGACCTATCCCTTTGATTTAATTTACAAGCAATCACTCATTCTATTTATAGTCATTACTAAACACTGGTCAGTCATTCATTCCTATTTATACATATAATCTACTTATTGTCAATTACATATAGCAATTGTATCCTGTGGTCTTGCCAGGAGTGAAGTGTTCATATCCGCACATACGCCCGTGCGTACAGCTGAAATCTTTTTTTAGTACCTGAAAGCACTTTATCATAAAACCGGGATGACAGATATATATATTTTTTTCGCATTATATTGGAGCCTTTTTTTAGTATTTCCTTCGTCCTCATTGTTCTATCAACGGCTCACTGCAAGAAACGTTATAGTGAGTGAAAGAAGAGAGATTAAGCTCTCTTGCAATTCCGCACATACACAAGCACAAGGACATTAATTGATATTGATGGCGTTGTAACAGAGTTTGACCGTCTGAAGGGTAGACGTCTTGCCCTTTGCTTGTAACCTCTTTGACTGTTTTACTTTTTACCCCGTTAACATTTTATCTTACCGATAACACTTGAGAGGGGTTTAAAAAAACAACGGACTACTGCATTTTTCCTCCGTGTTTATTTGCTGAAAGTGTTCCGCGGAAAACGTAGGAAATGGCGTTTCTGGGATGCCCCCAGGTTCTTCTAGTTTGGAGCGCCTTCGGTACATTAACTTACCTTCCCGCGTGCGCACACCTTTAAATCTCACACCATTCCAACTACCTCGTCAGCTCGTTACTATTCCTGATTTATACGTTCGTTCTGATTTCTTCCTAGCGTTTCCAGTCCCTTCCAACTATACTTGTGACTCCTAGTCACCAGGTTCCAGAGCGACCTCAGGATGCCATGGCCGTGTGGGTGGAGGACTTGACCCAAAGCAGTTTTAAAATTTGCCTCCGGGAAGTAAAGATTTTCGACGGTTTTCATCAGAACATTAAAGTTGTGAGTAAATTTGACGTGCTTGTCTATCATTAAATTCCAAGTTCTTCACTTTAAAGCAAATAAACCCCACTAAAATGTCTCTTTTAAACATTAAAATGAGTCTTACAATTAGCCTGTTCTTGGTGTTCAGATGTTGGAGGGGAGAGAGTTAAATCGTACGCCCTCGCTCTACAATATGAACGCCTGGGACACTCAGGCTATATTTCTAAAAATGGAGATGTGTATAGCGAGATGCAAGAGTTGGTCACCAACTAATAAAGTAAATTGTTCATTTTTTATTACTGGTATAGACAGGAGAAGTCTAACCACCACCCACCTTTCTGTCCGGCTGAGCTAGAGAGGCTTTATAACCAGCTGTTTACTTGTAGGTCACTATTCTTCTTCGTTTTTGAAACGAAAAAGCTTAAATTACCAGGGGCTCACACAGCCTGGGGACACTTATTTGGCAAATTCACCAGTGAAAATGGTAACCCGAAGTCCTTTTTCGTATGTTCTTTTAAGCAGAACTGGATGGCATTTACCAATTTGAGGGTTCAAAATTTTACTTTGGCTGATAGTTTGGCGTTTACCAACAACAGATCGTTATCTCGATCGCAAGATAACTTCGCCCTTTGTCAGGTATACGTAAGAAGTTAAAAGGTAACATTTTTAAATTGCACTGTTTTGCAATGTCCATTTGTATTGCATGCATTCGTTCTCTTATAATGGAATGTGTCTGAACGTAGCTTGATATTGCTGTTTCAGTTGTTTGTTTGTCTGTTTGCTTGTTCGTTTGTTTGCAACATAGCTGCCCAAATACTTCTTTTAAATAATTCATTGTTTTTCTTCACCAGAACATCACCTTCGCAGATCCGTTCTTTGCCCCTCCGGTGGTGTTAGTAACACCAAAATACATTTACAGTGGCAACAATTTGCTTTCTGGTTGTAACGCAGTCACCACCTGGGTTGAGGTAAGATTGTTGTTCCTTTACTGTATCATTGTTAACTGCAAAAAATGCACCGCCTGATGATAAAAAAGCAAGTTCATGTTACATGTTCAAGAATTTTTCGGTAAGGTATGAGATCTCGGTGGTCCATGTTATATATATTAGAATATACGAGATTTATAGGACGTAACTTTGACGATACTGGACTGCATGATTATCATAAGAAAAAAAAATAGAATATTTTATTTCATTTAAAGAATTCAACCAAAACAGACACAAAGATCTGTGTACGAAACTACGACAGGAGCAGTAACAGTAGCATTAAAGTCGACTTCCTGGTTAGTAGAGGTATGTAAAAATACTTACTTAATACAAAGAAATGAGAATAAAAAGTGTTGTTTGTCATTTAAGATAATCAGGCGGATCCGTTTTAAATTCAAGTCTTTATAGTTACGTGCACACCTTGCTTTAAAGCCTGCGAGGCCTCCGCAAGAAGGAAATTCGCCTCACGCGCGCCCTCGTGCGGCACACCCGTACCAAGAATTTCCCTACGAAAGGCCCCCCGAGAACTAGAACTTATGTGTTATCGAAGAGCCGCCTGGTGGAAACACGTGACCAACTATTGAAAGAGGCCTATTCTGTTGGTCCTGGTTATATCTGGCTTATTGTGTTATGTTTGTAAGATTTAGTTAGCGTTAATTGAATGACGCACAGGATAAATTTTCCAAAAAAATCGGTGCGTCAGGAAAAAGGTATAGGCCGAGATAAATGTGTACAATTAAGCATTTATGTAAACTGTATCTTTCACTTTGTTGTTGTTGTTTCATCGAGCTTAGACTTATGTGAATCGTGATTTTTGTACACTCCTACCAGATCTGGATCCTTGTCTGGACGTAACCTGTGATTACCACTGTCTTTGTAAGGTTTTTGGACCATACGATGCCCGCTGCGTGCACGCAGAAAACTGCCCATCCTACCAGGAGCCCATATGTTCCTCCAACGGAACGACGTTTGATAATAGGTGTCTCTTTGAACAGGAAATGTGTCTGTTGCGACTCAACTTCTCTGTCCAACATCCCGGAGGTTGTGAAGGTTAGCAACTCAGTATGCTGCTCATTTATTAGTTTCTAAAGACTTTATCTGAAACATCAGATTTAGACTGTCAACTGCAAGCATTTTAGGAGAAAACTCACACCAACACCTACAATAATCATTTAAGCATTTAATGAAAGCTACGTTTTTGTTACTGCTTTCATTTTGCTCTATGCATGTACTATAATTTAATGATTTTTGTAAAGAGTTTTGTTTTTGTTCTGTTTTTTTTTTTATTATTATTTTTATATATATTTCCGCTTCTTTTTGTCAGGGTTCCCATTTCGGCGCGGTCGAATTCACATGCCCCACATACCATCTTTGGGGTACTCTCATTGCGAAGCTATTCATTTCCGACCATTTGTATTCTATCCTGACAAACCTATCCAAGTACAGATAACTGTCAATCACATCGATACCAGTGACATGACATATGTCCACGATGCTGCTGTGTCGTGGATTGAAGATGTAAGTTACGAACAATTCACTGGGTGCGTGATGGCGGCAGGGTATAACGAGCGCAAGTCCAGTGCTAATGTGTCCATAGACTGGATAGCTTATCAGGGAGCTCCAGTGGGTGGGGTCACTGGAGAGGTGCGCATGTCACAGTGGTGGACTGGAACGACTTGTAAGACTGTGAGTTTCCCTTCGGTAAGTCAGTAGATCTTTTCAAAACGCAAACCTACTACTTAACTACTAATGACTACGACGACGACGACGACGACTAACAGTATCACAATCACTACCCCTACCGGACTTTCATCATTCGTCTACCATGAAAATATAAAGCAAATACGTGACTTTTTTATAATAAATTTTCTGCATAGTTCATTGAAAAATTGTTTAAAAGACCTCTTTGGCTCGTATATTTTGTTTTACCATTTCAGACTACGAGAGGTTACCTCATCAGAACTAGCTATTTTTCTTTTTTTCAAATGTCGTCCTTTTCACTAGTGCATATGTGTGCATATAACGTTGTGATCTTTATTGTGAAAACAAGAATTCAAGCTGAAAAGGTCTATTTCCCTCACATCAAAGGTCAATGTTTTACTAGTTTTGTAAGTAACGTCAAAAAAACTATCGGACTATGAGACAAATGGACTAGATTATTTATTGCTCGGATTTGTAATGCAAGCTACCTTCAACCCAGAGAAGTTACCAGACATTAGAAGAAAGGGCTCAAGGTAAATGGTATATGAAATGACACAGACCATTTTGTCAAGAAAAATCCATTAAAGTGGCAGTTAGACGCCATCAAAGCGTATTTTGCTTTACCTCATTGCCTGTTATTCCTGGACTTAATTTTATACCATTTTCCAATCAGGGCAAGTTTTCAAAGAATCCTTCAGTGTTTGTTACCGCAGAACATCACCGTGCCGGACTGACGCCGCCAGTATTTGGTTAGAGGACATCGGACAATCTTCCGTCAAAATATGTTTACGGGAACTGCAAAATTACGCTGGCTCCCATGAGGACATTTATGTTGTAAGCATTTAGAATAATTTCATCACAACTTATAAATATAATTACTGATTCAGTTTCAGCTTGAGATAGATTGAGAATTAGCTCTGAGGTTAGGACCTGGACAGCCAAGATCCCTTACTGTCGACCACTTTATAGTCACCGTAAAGGTATAAAAAATGTGTAAAACTGTAACTAAACGGTTTTATTTGAAGGCACGTTTTCTCAAATTGCAAGTGATTTTCGACTTTGGGAACTCAATGGTAACTAATTGGAAGAATTCATGTATGTAAATGAATCAACCTGCTCAAGTGAAATAGTGTTTTTAACATCAAAATGTTCGCGCGTAATAGGGGCTATCAGCCTTTAGCCTCTGACGCCACAGTTTGTTGCTGTTAACAACTGATAACTCAGGGGCTTTTAGTAACAGTTTCCATATGAATATAAGTTGGACGATGACCTCCAAACAAGGAAAGTCATGTAACACTTCGTCTCACTTCCACTTATTGAAAATGTTCGCCTAATTTGGTCAAAGTTTGCAGCTTCAGCTTCAAATTACGTGTTACTGTGTACATGTCCGTCTTAGTGAAATGTTCATCTTAACAGGGCGTACGCCTGAAGAGAGGCAGGGGCCAACTCGAGGTGTCCCTTTAAAGAGATACCCGTCTTATATAGAGAGTCAAATAATATGTCTGTCTGAAGAACAAAAGGGACCAACTCTAGGTGCCCGTTTTTGGGGAGGTGTCCGTCTTATAGAGAGTCAAGTAATATGTCTGAAGAACGGCAGGGATCAACTCTAGGTTTCTGTCTTAAGGAGGTGTCCTTCTTACAGAGACAAATGCTGTTGAGGAACGGCAGGGACCAAGTCTTGGTTACGTTTTAGGGAGGCGTCCGTCTTAAGTCAAATACTGTAACCGAAGAATGGCAAGGACCAACTCTAGGTTTCTGTTTTAGGGAGGTGTCCGTCTTACAGAGTCAAATACTGTAACTGAAGAAAGACAGGGACCAACTCTAGGTGCCCTTTTTAGGGAAATGTCCGTCTTATAGAGAGTCAAATATATTAAAACGACAGAAAAAAGGCGGGGGTCAGCTCAAGGCGTGTCCGTGTTAGGTTTTACTGTGTACATGTCCGTACGCGTCTTGGCGAAATGCTTATTTTACAGGGCGTATTCCTGAAGAGAGGCAGGGACCAACTCTAGGTGTCCCATTAAAGAGATGCCCGTCTTATATTGAGAGTCAAATTTGAATAATATGACTGAAGAACGGTATACGTAGGAGCCAACTCTATGTCTCCGTTTTAGCGAGGTGTCGCTGTCTTTTAAGGGTATCCTTTAAAGAGGGAGTTGACTGTATTATTTTGACATTCATTTTGTTTTAGAACTGGTTGGCGTTTTCTTCACTTCACAAGCCTTTTTTTGCAGAACACGATTCTATTTATTTTGCAAACTCTGGGATTCCTCCAGCTGATCATAACAATGCTTTCTGCGAGGTCAGTTATCACTGTCTTATGTCTGTCCTTCGGTTACTGTTTTACCTGTCTGGCTACTGATAAACATGAAAGTATCCTTTTTTTAACTTGCTTTTTTAATTTTGTTTTTAGGATATTCACTTTATCAGGGTGTACAATATTGCCCCGACTATCTTCGTGTCAGCGAACCATACATCTACTGGTGGAAATCAGGACCCCATGCACAACTCCATTACCACTTGGGTTGAGGTAAATTAACAGGAACAACTAGGCGAATATTAAAGAAATGAATTTACAAAGGACACAAGCTAAGGCAAAAAGATACAAGAACTTACGTGTAACATGCATCACTTGCCGACACAGGAAAAGGAAGCTTAATAATTTATTCAGTCTTATACTTTTTTAGGCCCACGATAAGCATTTAAACGTCACAAAATATCTCTGGCTGCTTACTTGACCAAACTACGCCGTATAATACGATCGACTGCCAAGAATGCTATGTCCGCAAATGGCCGCCATTTTGGATTTGCCATCTTTGGTTTGCAAAATTAATATTGATATGGGAATATTTTTGCAAAAGGATCATTAAAACTTAACCCTAAAATTCTCAATTTGCAACCGTGCTCATAAACTGTTGCCACAGCAGCACATACAATTGGATGTAAACAAAAAATGGCGTTAAAAATGGCTGTGAAGGTAATAGAATTTAGTGGTTGTAGCTGTTGAAAGCCTGAGCACTTCAGGTCGCCTTCTACTCTCCCCTTCCGGTCTGGACAATGTTGAAAATGTTTTACTATATATTCTTACTTGTTGCACAGTTGTTTTTGGTTGTTTGTAGTATGATTTGTTATTCTTTATATAAAAAAAAAAACCTTATCAAAGTATCGCAGAAGGCACACACAACACTTCCAAATTACCTGGATCAATAGGGCGAACGTTTTTGTCGTCAATCGACCGTGGCAACCGTTGTAAGAGGCCAAAACCACATGCAGCTTAATTATATATATATATATATATATATATATATATATATATATATATATATATATATATATATATATATATAAATATATATATATATATATATATTTTTTTTTTTTTTTTTTTTTTTTTTTCAGTACATTAACACAACAGGCACCCGAGTTTGTTTAAAAGAACTGTACGAATCCAAGTATGACCCGCTTTCCGTATCATACACTGTATTGTCAGGTAAGAAGTGGTGGGTTTCAAAAGGGAGTGTTCATGAACCACTTGCGGGGAGATCTACTCAAAAGTCTAAGTCAAGGGTCAAAAGATATTGACCCTCCCTTAAATTTGGGTTTACAAACTCTAACCCCGCCCAAAACGTAGGTCAAAACATCATGAACCTCCCTTGAGAAAGCTTCTTTTTAAACAGTTATTTAATTCCATTATTGAAATCAATTTGGGCAGACTGTGTAACACACTGTCGATAGCGATCACCAATTTCTGACTTTACGATCACCTATTTCTAAGTTCGTACTTGCAGCGTAAGTAGTGTTCTAAAATTAAGAAAGTGCACATCTGAGTAAACAAATTTGTTAAAAACTGTTTAAAAATAGGATGTTCGTGCATTAAAGCTACCAATAATGCATCGGGGAATCGTCCAAGCTTTGGATTCTTTATTTACTATCTTGTGACTAGCAAAATAGAAGAAAATTTGAAAGATCTTCCTTTCTTTCCATTTGGAAATTTTCCTGACAGTCCCCGTTCCTATTATGAAACCACTTTGCCATGCATAATAAGCTTACAGACAAAATAGACATACTTGTTTGTAGGTTAAGGTGCCAAAACGTGAGGCGGCTATCCCATTTCATCGCCTTACTCAAGACATATGTACACATTATTTTTCCCACAACCACAAGGGTTAATAAGGAACAACATATTTTGGTACTCCACGGATTGCACACAGAGTTGTTTTAGGGCTCATGAACTGAATATGGGTTGGCATGTATGAAGAATGTAAGTACCTACGATCGGAACTGGTTCCTGAAAAGGATTCAGTTTATTCTGTGTCCTCAAAATTCTAGATATTTGCCAAACAGGATGGAGTTACTTTGGTGGTTATTGCTACTTCACAAGTGCCGTCTGCTCTTCTTGGATGACCGCAGAAGCAAATTGCTCGACCATGAGCTCAAATCTGGTAACAGTGCACAACCAAGAGGAAAATGTTTATATTCAACACCGTCACAACGGAGACAGATCCTGGATTGGACTCAATGACCGAAGCATGGAGGGCTCCTTTGTGTGGACAAACAAAGAGATAAGTAGTTTTAGGTTCTGGGCTCCAAGACAACCCAACAACTGGAAAAACGAAGACTGCGTTCACACCCTTGGCGCCAGTCATGGTTACACTTGGAATGATGTGCCATGTGATAACTGCTACAACTACACTTGTTTTACAGGTTTGTAAAGTATTGTTTGACGTCAAAAAGAAATTATCCTGGCTGAAAAAAAAACATTCTCCGCTTAACTGTTTTAAGAGCACCACGTAGAGCTTTGCGAGACTACAGGCTGGAAGGCGAAAGCTTAATGTTCTATTCGAAACTGAACAGTCAATTTTGCAGAAAACCGTTTTATGCAGGATAATATAGGAGATAAACTAGAAAAATGGTTGTGTTGACTCTGCCATCTTCAAAAGAGCCAAAGCTTGCATGCGCAAGAGTAAAACAAATTTGTAAAAACGCGTTGAAAAGTTTTTCTTAACAGCACACATGTAGGTTTGATTTGTTCAAACTTTGCTCGCATCACTGCGCTTAGATGAATGTACAATTAACATCCATACTTGTGACGTCAATGCTGCTTGTCAAAATACCGCGGGCTCATACACCTGTTCATGTAAAGCCGGATTTACGGGAGATGAAAAAACATGTTATGGTAATAATATAATGAAAAAAATGCCAGTTCAAAGTATCTTGGCACTTAAAATAAGTTTTCAAAGTTGTTTTATTATGTTAAATCTTCACCAAACATACATTTTTATTAGACAGCAGTTACACCTGAATGGTGCACAAACATAAAATCATATTTCATATAACTACTTTTGAGTAAGATGTAGAAGAGTGTTCTGACAAAGCTTAATGCTGGGATTTCAAAGATGTGTGTCAAATACCCCAGCTTTATATTGTATTCTCGCGCAAATTTATTGTTTCTATGCATACATGACTTAAAAATATACAGCTATTTCGAAAGGGTGGTTTTGAATTCACTGTTCTTCAAATAAGTTTGAAAGAATGACACAAGGGAACATGGACGTACGTTTGCGAGTGCTAAAGGAAAGCAACAAACGTAGGTTCGATAGCTACAGTGTCAGGAACAGTGTATTGATCATATCCCATATTACCTTTCGGGATTGCTATTCGCGTGCACATTTTTTCCGACAACCTTTCTCGAAATAGCTGTATATACAATTAGAACAAATACTGCTTACCTCCATCCAAGGCCAACTAAAACTATTCCTTGATAAAAACTTGATAAAATTGCACTATTATCCAAATAAGGACGCATAGAAGTGGGAAATACTTTTCTCTAAGATAAGAATAGTAATGATATTTTACCCAATATAAAGAATTTAAACTGAAAATGCCCTGTTGCCCATTTGTGGAAACAAAAAGCAATTGGTGGTTACGTTACAGGAAGGTTTGTCGGTTTTATCTTCAATTAAGTTACTTTAAAATCATATTATCACTTATCCTTCCATCAAAAAAAAAAAAAAAAAACTGCACATGAAATTTATATGGTACATTTTGAGAACCGGTTTTATTATATTTTCTCTCGCCCTCATTATCTTTATTTGTTTGTTGTTGTTCCGATAGAGTGAAAGTTTTTAAAATTTGGTAGCTCCGGTTTTTCATAAATCACATGGAAGACAAGAAAAGACCTTTTGAAGAATTTCTTAACAAGCCTTTGCTTGGTTCTAGACTTAGATGAGTGTAATACAAACTCTCATGCTTGTGACGTCAATGCTGTTTGTCAAAATACTGTGGGCTCACACACCTGTTCGTGTAAGGCGGGATATACAGGGAATGGAAAAACATGTTATGGTAAGTTAGAAAATGAAAGAGAAAATGCCAGTTACAGGAGGGTTTGTCGGTTTTCTCTTCAATTAAGTTAGCAGTATTTTAAAACCATATTATCACTTATCCTTTCATTAAAAAAGACCTGCACAAGAAAGTCATGTGGCACATTTTGAGAAGTGGTTTTATTATATTTTCTCTTGCCCTCATTATCATAATTTGTTTCTTGTTGTTGTTGTTGTTGTTCCGATCGAGTGAAAATTTTAATTAGGTAGCTCCGGTTTTTCATAAATCACATGGAACACAGGAAAAAGTCTTTTGAAGAATTTCTTAACAAGCCTTTGCTTGGTTCTAGACTTAGATGAGTGTACTACCAACTCTCATAGTTGTGACGTCAATGCTATTTGTCAAAATACTGTGGGCTCACACACTTGTTCGTGTAAGGCAGGATATACAGGGGATGGAAAAACATGTTATGGTAAGTTTGAAATTGAAAGAGAAAATACCAGTTAAAAGTGTTCAGTTAACCAAGTAGTTTTTCGCTAAGAGCTTCTATAAAACATATCAGACGGAACTTACAGAGAAATGAAAACCTAACGTGAAATATTATCGCACGTTTTTAGATGTGGACGAGTGTTCTAGCAATGCTCACAGCTGTGATTTCAACGCAGTGTGTACAAATACCCAAGGATCGTATTCCTGTGCATGCAAAGCTAAATATACAGGAAATGGTACAACATGTGTTGGTAAGGACGTACTCTATACTTTATACATAGGCTGCCTGATTCACCAAAGCTCCAACAAATGTAAAGATGAGGTTATAGAAGAATTCAGCAACTAGTACTTATTGAAATAACACCATCATCTTGACAATATTGAGTTTAGGCAACAGGACGGCAGGAAGAAGAGAAGGACGGCAAAACGCTCGAGTGTGACAAACGTGACAGGGCTATTAATCACGTGTTTTCTCGTGATATTCTCTTAACCTTAGTGCTTTCTGGTCTTTTACAAAAAGAACTGATCAAAGGAAAGTGAAGTTTTGCGTAAAATTCTTTCAAACAATATTATTGTCAGGCTTATCTTGTCACACAAGGTTTGCCCTCCCCCCCCCCCCCCCCCCCCTCCCTCTCCACTCTTCTTTCCTCTCCCGTCCTGTTGTGCAAGTTCACTATTATGAAAACGGGGACTACAATTTATGCAGAAAATATGCCCCAAGGAGATGGATAATAAATGATAATTTCACCCGGGGTCCATGGGTGGGAGAGCGTACAGCAGTATTTCACATAAAATAGCTTAGGTGTGAGTAACACTTTCCGCTGAGATCAGTTTGGGCAGGATGATACCTTGTTCAGTTGCATTAAGAAGTTACACACTCATTCCAAAGGCTTCGATATGTTTACATGAAGATACAGTTAAACAAACGCTCCGCACTCAAAGTCACAAGTCTCATTCCCTTTTCTTTTAATAAAGCCTGTCACTTAACAAAATGAACTGAGCCCAGTTTTTCAAAAGGTGGATAACGCTATCCACTGGATAAATCTCTACACGGTGGATAGCGCAATTGTTTTTCCAAATGCTTATCTGGCGCTGGATGGTGATTTATCCAGTGAATGGTGCTATCCAACGTTTCAACAACGGGGGTCTGGAGTGTAAAGAAGCCCCATCTATGTAACTTCGCAACGCCCTGGAAGAAGAGCCAAGAAGTAAGTAAGTTATAACGATTTTAAAACTTATAATAATTATTATGAAAATTCTTTGCAATACTAACCAGAAAAACAACCCTGTACTTACCCTAAAAAGCCAGTTACAGCTGAAACAAATAAGTACAGTGTAAGTTAGTAACCAATATGACGAAAGCTTTATTTTTTATTCTTTATTATTATTTTTTAACAGACACTACAACTAATGTTGTTCATCAATTACGTATTAGTGATTACTGATAATTTTTAAAAATATCCAATGGATCTTCTCCTTTTTTCAGCATAAGCGGAAGACTTTTATATAGTAAAACCCCAATTGGGGCCAATGCGCCAAGGGATTCTTTGTTGCAGCGTTGCCCCCTTTGTGCCGGGGTGGTGATTTAGGTAAGCCTGCACAACCAAAGGTCTAAAGATGACCTTACAAAATAATTGCTTTGGTATACTTTTCCATCATCCAGTATCCTTCAGCGCGGTCTTCACAAACCTAGGTGCGAGTGGGAGACTGGGTCCAACTTCTCTTGGTAGTTACTACAGTGGACAACATCATGACGGTCAAGTTACATTACATAGCGGTATTCAACAATGGACTGTGCCTAAAACAGGTAACTACAGAATAGAGGCGATAGGAGCTGCAGGGGGATACGACAACTACAACAGTAATAGCCGCCATTATCGAGGAAGAGGTGCAAGGATGAAAGGAACTTTTCGTTTGTCTCGAGGGGAAACAATTCAGATACTCGTAGGACAAGAGGGTGGAATTAACAATGTAGCAAATACTGCGGGAGGCGGTGGAGGTTCGTTTGTAGTGAAAGGAAGCAGCACGCCTTTAATAATCGCTGGAGGAGGAGGAGGCATAGAAGCTTTGCTTTCACGACGTACAGGATGTGATGCCTCTACAAGCACGGCGGGGAGAGCTGGGTACAAGTCATGGTCAGGAGGAAGCGGAGGACAGGGAGCAACGACCGCTGACAATGACAACTCAGGTGAAAAAATACTATGCGTGCCTGTAAATTAAAAGCGAACTTGTACTCGCGTCGTTACTTAGGTCCCATGTGATGTAAAGTGCTTGGACGGTGATGCCAACAATTTTTGGTATCCGTCGAAATAATTTATAGGATGAAACTTCAAAGACTTGATAATTGAAACTTTGAGGGGTTACAGCAGCCGCGAATTTAGCAGTTATCTCTCTGAGAATAATTTGGTGCCACCCTCTGAAGCTTTCAGGGTACATGCATGATTAACACTATAAAAATAATTCAAAAACAAACGGCAATGCAATCCCCGTACCACAAATTATCTAAAAGACGCCCTGGAGGTTTATTTAACTCCAGGGCCCAGTTGTTCGAAGGCCGATTAGCGCTAACCCAGGGCTAAATTTTAACCCGGGTTTCTTTTTCTATTGTTCACAAGTATTTTCCCGGGTAACTTCCTCTCTTCTCTTCAGAGCATCCAATCATCAAATTGTTGGCATAAATAATAAAACTGAATTTGCTTCCTAAGCTTTCATACCTGAAATCAAATTTCGTACTAACGTGGGTTAACTTAACCCTTCTTTGAACAACCCGGCCCAGGGGTCCAAGAGGGCGTTTATAGATAGAAGGCGTTCAAAAGAGAGAGGCTCTAATTTAGTTTCATTTTTGTAACAATCTCAAGAAAACTAGACAGTATACTTTCGGCGAAAGTATGAGAGTTTATAAATCGTGGAATATCCAGCCCATTCGACTGATACCTCTAGGCCGTCTAGAAATTCAGTAGTTGCCCTTTTAAATCTCAACTTCTTGATGTCTGAATCCTCGTTCAAGATCATTTTGTTGTAATCGCTAGCCAAACTTTGAACTTGATATCTAACAAGACCCAATACTAAAACTCTTGTTGTTCAAGTCATTAAAATGAGTAAACTGAATTATTTTTCTCCTTTTGGCAAATTTGTTGTATTTTGGAGTAACTGTCTTGAGGGTATACGTGTTTATAAGGCAGGGGGCGTTTATTAAAGAAGAACGACTAACACAAACTTAACTTCGTAGAGGGATACATTGTATCTATTAGAGCAGAGGCGTTTATTTAAGAGGGGCATTTATAAGATCATTTACGGTAATTATGACAAATAAAATTAACTCTGGGTGTATTTGAAATTTTAAATTTAAATGATCTAACGCAACGCTCTATCTTGGGCTTAATAATTATCAAGCTAAGTGCAGAACAGGTGTGAGTTTCTCGAAAGACCCGAAAGTCTTTTTTGACTCTTTTCGGGTGATTATTTTCAACTTGTGGAAAGCGTGTCTCAATCAGTACGTAATGAAACTTCTAATTTTTTTTTGTTATTTATTGTTGTTTTAGGTGGTGGCGCTGGTGGGTTTTTCTCCAGTGGAAGAAGCTCAACACAGTTCGGAGGCTCAATGGGGAATGGTGGAGAAGGAGGCAAAGGATTTCTTCAGGGAGGAGTGGGTGGAAGAGCCTGGTATAATAATGCTGTAGGCGGGTTTGGAGGGGGCGGTGCCGCTTATGGAAATGGAGGAGGTGCTGGAGGTGGAGGAGGCTACTCTGGGGGAAGTAGCGGGGAGAATAAGTATGACTCCTGTGGAGGAGGGGGAGGATCTTACAACGCTGGAAAGAATCAGCAGAATGAATGCTGTTACAATACAGCTGGACATGGTCAGGTTACCATAACTTTGATGTAGATTAGACTATAATTTGATATACCAAAATCAGTGTCTCTTCCCTTTTTTTGTCTTAACATTCCGGGTTCATTGTTCACCGCCCTTGAAAAAATAAAGTGATATTAAGCTTACAAGTATAGAGTTCTACGCATTTGGTCTCACGAAAGGGATGAACCATATACATTGCCACACTGCCAAGTGCAACATCGCCTTATTTAGAGCGGTTTTAAGTTACTAACACTAGATACATTTATAGAAAAAGCGATTTTTTTTCTAACGGTTTGAACTGGTCCCCACCCAGCTTATACCACCTTTTGAGATAGTCGGGGGCAAGAGCCCTTGTCGGGGGGAAATGTTTGACCTGGATTGTTGTTACTCTGCTTCATATTCAGACTAGTTAATCATAAATTAAAAATAACTTCAATTCCAAATCGTTCATTCTTTTTGTAAGTTTGCATATGTTCTTTTATTCATTTTGTTTTTGAGACTTTAAAACCACACATGTGCAAAAGTCTATTAATAGCGTTAACAATTGCTTTCTGACTATCCAGAATTTGTTTGCCTTTCGATCAATGTTTTTCGGAATGATTAATCAGTAATTAGTAATCATTCCCCGAACTTCTATTCCTGATCGAGGGACTCTATAAAAATAGAAGGCGCGGAGTGCAATTTCTCTTGTGTTAAACTATGTTCTGAGCTTATCATATGGCGGCAGTTTTAAAGAACTGATATCGATGCTTTGTAAACTATCAATGACACGTATTTCTCCTAGGGGGTATTATACCTGAAGTCTCCACCCAAAAGAGGTACCTTTTTCTAGCCTCAATTAATAAATGAAAGGGTAGGGCCTGAAATCTGTCATTAATTTATTTTACGCTACATATAATGAAAAGAAGAGTGACTTACTGTTAGTACGTATTAAATAAATATGTGAAAGGCAGGAGCTGAATTAATCTATTTACAACTGATATTTAGTTGCATAAAGTGAACTGCAAGCTTGCTAAGTAGTATTTTGGTTCAGGTTTGAAATAACATTTTCAAGAATCGTCAGTCACGATAAGTTTGATGAGAGAAAGGGAAATAACCTGCAAAAAAGTTGCGCTATCAAAACCCTTACAAACAGTTAAGTCACTAACTGTGTAAAAGAAGGCGAGTTTCGGCCACATCCTTAGGAAGAGAGATCCTTTACGGTGTATAATGCCTTAAAAACACCTGAGGTAATTAAGTGATATCCAAAAGTCACTAAGGTAGACTATATATCCAAATATTCCGTTACCCTCTGAGAATAGTTTTCATGAATTAAACATTTATGCTTGTATACCTAGTTTGAGAGTAAACCATACTCTTTAATGACGACAGCTATCAATTTGGTTTTCTAAATCGCAGAGCCCAAAATGTTTACGCTGATCGAGTACATCCACCGAAACCCTTCAGTTAAGAACAAAAGCGGTTAAATGTGAACATGAGGTTTATGTGACGAAAATTGCCAAAATATATAAACATAATTATATTTCTTTGAAATGGCTAATTCATGAGGGAAAGATGGACATGCGTCGTGTCCAGCTAAAGAACTCGAACTTTTTAATTTAATTTGTACTTTTCAGAAATTACAATACTAAAAAGGATATTGCACGTATTTAACGCTGAAATTCTTAGTTAGCTGATTCCGAAATGTTATCTTTAAAATGACATGAAAACCTGTATATAACTCAACTTGATTTTATCTCTCTCTTTTACCCCCTCAGAGGGTGTGACATACACCCCCCCCCCTTGTAAGTCAGTTGTTAAACTTGGCGCCAGCAAAGAAATTACTTTTACTAAAACAAGCAAATGTCCAGCTAGAGTCATAACTTAGAGTTAGAAACAACTGCCAGGCTGAACAGTTTTGAAACTTCATTGAGTACAACTCGCAATGGGCTTCAATTCGCCACTTTAGAAACGAGGAGGAACTGGAGTCGAAATTTGTCCCGCAATTGCTTCTGGGATCGTTACTGGGGACGCGCAGGTCAGCTATTGTGTATTTTCACATGACGTCATGGCGGCCATATTTTTGTCCCAAACCACGCCTGTGGGAGTTGAACTCTTTTCGTATGCAACCACTTTCTTCTGTTCCAATAAATTTGCATAGATGCTGGCCACGTGAGTGAAAACACATAATAGACCCATTCGGCTAACTCACTGTTGTACCCAATTCAAATCTCCCGGGGTTAAATTTGTTTGTGTACTGTATTTGCATTATAATGTGGCATTCACATTTAAATGATATGGAAATTGGTGGCCTCTCTTTATAAGCCTGGTTGTTTTCTTGAGGTCTCCTCGCCTTAACAACCTGCTGTATCCTGTAAAATTTGCTGTAAAAAAGGCTAATAAAAATGATGATGAAATTCCTGAAAGAAAACGTTTTATTCCCAAAGGGTTTGAATTGGGCACAACATTAAGTTAGCGGAATTGGTCTATTGGCGAATTTCTTCCCCTGCCCCTAGTAACAGCTTCAGAAGTCTTTGCGAAAGTCAACTTGGTCTAGATTCCTTCTCCGACGTTTCTAAAGTAGTGAATTGGAGTCCATTACGAGTTGTAATGAGGTACCTTTCCTTTGCATGCACATGCTGTATTATTTCAGTGTTTCCTGAATCTGACTCACAGAGGTTTTTGTGATGGAATAAAATATTTTACCATAACTAAAATTTCTCGCACGATGATTAGTCGAGAGCTATTTTCCATAAGAGTACAGACGAATTTACTGACTATGGAAATGACGTCATGGTGGCGCAACTTGTTTCTTTCTTTCTCGCGCTCGCGATTCTCCGAGAAACGGAAATGGACGTCAATGAAAACTTACAATGCCATTTTGAAAAAAAAAAAAAACTAACACACAAGTCAACAGCAATTTTCCATGGTCTGTACTCTTATCGACCATAGAAATGACGTAAAAATGTTTAAAACTTTGCTGTGGAACCACCAGCCGACATAACATCGCGCTCGCGATTCTTCGAGAAACTTCGACTGAAATAGACGTCAAAACTTTCAATGATATTGTGAAAAAAACAAAACAAACAAACAAACAAATCAACAGCAATTTTCCATGGTCTGTACTCTTATCGACCACAGAAATGACGTCAAAATGTTCAAAACTTTGCGGTGGAACCACTAGCCGACATATCATATGAGAGAGCTACCTGAGCCTTCTTTCTTGTGTTGCTCGCTTGTGTTTTGGGGGGCAAAGTCGGCTTGTGCCTGGGCAACCTTTTTTGACAAAAGAAAACAATAAAGCACGTGAGTGAAGATACGTTCTCTGACCACGCCTCGAACGGTAAGGGTAGATAGACAGCAATAGCATCCCCGAAAGTTTCTTGGGGATTAAAAGTTATTTATAAAGATCTAGAGGATATTACACGGTGGCGCGAAGATATGAATTTTATTTTCGAGTGGCAAAACAATATTTTACGAACGAGCATAGCGAGTGAGTAAAATATTGTTTTTGCCACGAGAAAATAAAATTTATATCTTCAAGACGCCGTGTACATGTAATGTTCTTTTTATTATATAGACAAAAAGACATCGACAAAATAATTGAGGGAATTCGAAATTACCGAAATCGATAAACTCACGTGTGATATTATGGACAATAAACCACTCGGGTCCCGGATGTAGTTTTTATGAATTTTACGAGTGGTATATTTTGCAGTAAAACACTTGTGTCTATATAATAAATCATGATAAATTACCCTAATAGCGGAGCTCCACGCGCGCGCGAAGCGCGCGCGTGGGCGGAGCACCATTGCTAAGTAAATCTACCCATCCCAGAAAATTTGGTAATCACGTGACCGTACACCGCCCGCCCGTCCGTCCGCACCACAGGAAAACCAATGTTTACTCTCACACTTTTAGCTAGTTTGGGAGCCCAAGAGACACAGGCTGCACATCAATGTTGTGATCAATTGACAGCTATCAAAACAGGGCATCCGCTGACCAGTATCACCTGACCGTACCGCGGGCTCAAGTGATGACCCATCGAGGTCGAGTATTTTTTTAAAGTTATCCGCTGACAAATTACCAGTTTCAAATGATCGCAGGCTCAAGTTTATTTTTTCCAATGATTCATATCAAATATGTTGTGTTTATGTCACTATGGCCCCGCACTATTAGGATTTTGATTTCAAACTGACCTCGGAAGCGAAAATTCATCCAGTTTTTTTAAAAGTACAGGCGGGGAAGACCTTATCTTACCATGGTCACGCGTTGGTCACGCTCTACGTCCAATTTTTATACTCTGATTGGTCAAAATTTGACAGGTGAGTTCACGCGGAAAAATTATGCAGCATCTTGAAAGTTGTTTACTTTAATAGCTGAAGCTGACAGAGTTTTGTGTCAACTTGTGATGTTTTTAACTGTCTTTTTCCTCTGGATGTACAAAATGAAATACAGCTGCTATCAAGAGTCTTCTGTTATTCATGGCTGGTTTGTTTACTGGGTTTTGGTTGAGAAATGCGGGTCGCTTGTCAAAATTCGGTAATTCGATTTCGGATGGCATCGTTTTCGTTTTTCACCTTGCTTAATGCGTAAGAGGGCTTAAAAGTCTCAAGCAACTGTGGCCTCCCTTGATAGCTTTCAGGAACTGAATCTCGAATGGTAAGCCTAAGTAATTATTGTATTTGATGTTTGTATTTCATGAAGTCTTGCACAGTTCACGCTGCCAGCTTATGCGGCAAGTTTATGCACGTTTGTAGGATTTGAGTCAATGATCTGACCTAGTATCAGGTTTGATATAAGCTTACAGAACTTTAAAAAGCCTTCAGATATGTTTGCTCACCACAAATAGAAAGAAAACGTTGCGAAGAATATTTAGTTCTAAATTTGGCTGTAGAAAGAAAACTTTGAGCGATTTTCTTGCTTCGAGGAGTTCACCTTCGAAAACAGTAAACACAGCGCCCAGAAACCGGCTAACACATAAACTTAAGCTTTACGCTTAAAGACTCAGGATTTTTAGAGACACTTTAATACTTGTCTTCGTGAATGAAAAT